ATTGAGAAATGTAATGGTTTCTTTGTAAGCGTAGCTGTTATAGCGGTTATTCATTATAATAATAATCCTTGCATTTGATTATAGCACCTTTCATGTTGGAGGATCCCTCAAAACGCTTCACAGGATTTGTGATGTGTAGTGACTATTGCAGATAGTATGCAGATGTATTTAAGAGGAAGCTGGGTATATACATGAGGGAGAGGGGAATAGAACGGTATGGGAGAGAATAAAGTGGATGAAGACTCATGTGGAGCACAGACTGAATGGCTTGTTTCCGTGTTGTACAGTCTATGTAAATCTATGTAAATTTAGAGTACAAGAGTAGGGAAGTCTTGCTGCAACTGTATAGGGCCTTGGTGAGACTTCACCTAGAGTATTGTGTGCAGTTTTGGTCTCCTTATTTAAAAAAGGACATACTTGCCCTCGAGGGGGTACAGCGTAGATTCATTCGGTTAGTTCCTGGGATGAGGGGACTGACCTATGAGGATAGGCTGAATAAACTAGGGCTGTATTCTCTAGAGTACAGAAGAATTAAGGGAGATCTTATTGAAGCATAGAAGATTCTTAAAGGGCTGGATAAAGTAGACACTGAGGGTCTGTTTCCCCTGATAGGAGAATCTATAACCAGCGGTCACAGTCTTAAAATTAAGGGTCAGCCTTTTAGAACAGAGTTGAGCAAACATTTCTTCACTCAGAGGGTAGTGACAGAAATCTGTAGATGCTCAGTCCTTGAACATCTGCAAGGCTGAGCCTGATAGCTTTTTTAAAAATAGAGGGATTAGGGAATATGGGGATAGGGCAGGTAATTAGAGTTAGGTCTGAAGATCAGCCATGATCTTATCGAATGGCGGGGCAGGCTAGAGGGACCGAATGGCCTACTCCTGCTCCTAATTCTTATGTTCTTATGTAAACAGAAATATTTCACAAATAGACATAGACATAACATATGTGAAACATACCCAAGTAACATTGGGTATGTTTTACATATGTTATGTCTGTGTCTAGTTATGTCATATGTTGTCAGGATTATGAATCAGTGCATTATAGGTGCACTCTATATGTTTTGTTTTGTCTTTGTATGTTTTGCGTGAATGTGCATGGGTGTGTGTGGGTGCATGGGTTTTGTGTTGTGTGTGTTGTGTGTGCGTGTCTGTGCATGTTATACGAATAACAAAGAACTCGAGCTCTAAGCAACCTGTCCGGCTGCTGATAAGGTAAACTACTTTCTCTGGCATGAAACTGCTCTCTCTACATCCGGCAATGTTGGAGAGAGGCTTAAAATGATCTTAATTGTTTTCAGACACACTTTATTTTTCATCTGCACAAAGTAACTCTGTACGTGTAAGTAATACAATCGTACAAGGGATTTCACTTGAGTGCACTGACAAGTTCCCATTGAATGTTTTTCTGGATTGGCTTGGAATAATGGGTGAAGTTTGCCTCTGTATGTATATGTGTCTGTTTGGATCAGTTGGCAGAACTCCCACCACTGAATCAGCATGTGATGGGTTTAAGCCCCATTGTACATTTATACAGCGGCCTGAACATGGGCAGCATCTCATGTCCTTAACACTTGTGCAGTTGAACGGCAAGTTCTGGGAAAGGTGGGGGTGGGCATAGTTCTGCACTGTTGGAGGTGCCATATTAGGCTGTGGTGTTATACTGAGGGTTTTCTTCTCCCCTTTTGCCCATTTGTGGGATAGTGTGATAATTGTTTTCTGCACTCGCCCACAAAACACCCTCCACAGTACAGTTCCTGTGAAGCATTTGAGATGCCTTCCCAACATAAAAGGTGCTAGACCAATGTAAGGATTATTATTAAATTATTATTATTTTTATGAATTTTGAATTTTGCAGTCTGATAGTTGCAGTTCAATATTAATATTTAATTGGGTCTGGAATATTTCATTTTAAGTCCCCGAAAATCATAAGGATAAATTTAATAGATTGTTTTAAAATCCAATTGAATGGTAACTAAAATCCAATTAAAAATCAATCAAACTAAATAAATTCAGCTTCTTTTCTGCATACAATGTTGGCTTTGAGAGTTTGTATATCCTCTATTCAGCTTCTATATATTGAGGCCTTGAGAATATTGAGAGCCTCTGTATACACATTGAAAGTCCATTGAGAACTTGACCTCGGCCAACTTAAACCTCGGCCAAGTCGTCCTTCTACTCCAGGATAATCCTGGAGACGAAGAACAACCCCAGGCTTCTGTTCTCTACCACATCCCGGACTCCTCCACCCCCGACCCCGCCACCCCACGCAGGTCATCTCTTCCAACCTTCACTGCAAGGAGATGCTGGATTTTTTTGAATCCAAAATCAAGGGAATCCGCTCCGTGGTCACTGCCCCTCCAACTTCCACCCACCCCTTCCCTCCCACACTCCGACTCCTACCCATCCTCCCCTACACACCTTCGAACCCGTTTCCCCACCCTCTGTCACCAACCTCATCCTGTCCCTGAAATCCACAACCTACTCCCTTGAACCCATCCCCACTCCATTCCTTATCTCTCAACTCCACCTCCTTGCCCCACTTCTCACAGACATCATCAACCTGTCCCTCTCCTCTGGCTGTATTCCCATTCCCCTAAAAACTGCCACCATCACTCCCACTTTGAAAACCCCCCCCCTTGGTGCATCATAGCTATCAAGCTACCGGCCCAATTCCAACCTCCCCTTCCTGTCCAAGGTCCTTGAAAGAGTCGTGGCGTCCCACCTGCGCTCTTTTCTCTCCACCCATTCATTATTCAAACCCCTTCAGTCGGATTTCAGTCCTGCCCATAGCACAGAAACCGCCCTGGTCAAGGTCACCAATGACATCCTGACCATCTGCGACCAGGGCTCCCTCTGCCTCCTCGTCCTCCTCGACCTATTGGCCGCATTCGATATGGTCGACCATGCTATCCTCCTCCACCGCTTGTCCTCACACCTCAACCTTCAAGACCCTGTCCTTGAGTGGTTTAGGTCGTACCTCTCCCACCGTCTTCATCTTGTTTCTACAAACGGCTTTTCCTCCGGCCCCCGCACTGTCTCGTGCGGTGTCCCTCAGGGCTCTGTCCTCGGTCCCCTCCTCTTCACCCTCTATATGCTCCCCCTTGGTGACATCATCCGCAGACATGGGGTTAACTTCCACATGTATGCGGATGACACCCAACTCTACCTTTCCTCCTCTACCCTCAACTCCACGACCACCGATGTCCTGACAGCTGCCTGTCCGACATCGAGTCCTGGACGAGAGACAACTTTCTTCAGCTCAACGTGCGCAAAACTGAGGCCCTCCTGATTGGCTCACGTCAGCGCCTCCGCACCTCAGGCGCTGACAGCATCAGCATCCAAGGCTGCACTCTCCACCTCTCAAAGCCAGTCAGGAACCTCGGGTTCTGTTCGACCCTGAGCTGTCCTTTCTTCCTCATATCCGCGCCACAACTGGCACCGCCTTCCATCACCTCCGGAATATCGCCAGACTACGGCACTACCTCACCCCTCACGCTGCTGAAACACTGGTCCACGCCTTTATCACCTCAAGGCTGGACTATGAGATCTCTCTCCTCGCCGGCCTTCCCGCCACCTCCCTCCACAAGCTGCAGGTCATTCAGAACTCTGCAGCTCGTGTACTGTCCCGCACCAGGACCACATCACTCCCACCCTCGCTCGCCTCCACTGGCTCCCCATCCCCCAGAGGATTGAATTCAAGATCCTCATCCTTATCTACAAGGCCATTCACGGCCTTGCTCCCTCCTATCTCTCCGACCTACTATTCCCCCTACTTACCTGCCCGTACCCTCCGTTCCTCTGGCTCCAGTCTGCTCTACATCCCCTGCACTAACCGCCCTACCATCGGTGGCCGGGCCTTCAGCCTCTCAGCCCCGAGGCTCTGGAACTCTATCCCCCAGTGCCTTCGCCGCCTCCTCCCTTTCCTCCTTCAAGGCCGGTCTCAAGACCTTTCTCTTCGACCGTGCCTTCAGCTCCCCTCTCGACTCTCTACCCCCTCCTCACTCCTTCCCTTCCCTCCCCTCACCCTGAGCTTTTCCCCCCTGCTCGGGTCCTGACCCAACTGTCCAGCGCCTTGGGATGTCCTCCCGACGTGAAAGGCTCTCTATAGTGAAATCTTGTTGTTGTTGTTGTTGACCAAATTAGCATCTCTACATATCGCAAGTCCTAAGACACTGAGAAAACACATATATTCAGATGCTCTATATATGAAATGTCTGTACATAGTCAGAACCTGTGATCACATTAAGATATGTGAAAATTGCAGGATATCTTACACATCCAGAAACCTATTACTATGCTTAAAAGCATGCTACCAACACATGGAAATATCCCTGGTGTTTGGAATGGATGTGTACTCTCTCCCTGGTGGAATGTATCCTGCTTCTCTCATCGTTAAGAGTATTAGATAAAGGTTAGTGAAAAGGTTTGGGAATTCCAGTGTGCTGTTTGGGGTACTGCTGGAGTTTAACCAGCTAAAACCGCATGGCTTATAATTTAGGCAAGCTTTTGGCAAGCTTCAACTGCTTTTACAGCTAAGAACACTCTACCCATGGATGTGTGATACCCACCCTACCCTGGATATATGAGTATACGTTCATAAACATGCACTCCAGGTAACATTTTCCCAACAGCTTTCCTTCCAATCCTCAAGAGTTTGCAAATAAATTACGCATCTGTTTGCCTAACAAAATAATGTGTGTGCATTGTTCTGGGCTCAGTTTTCAAAATGCTAACCTAACCATTTGTAAAAATAATCAAAAAGGCACACACTCAGCTGCACTTCTGGCAACTGCAAGAAACAGATGTGGAATGCAAGACTACAGATAAGAGGAAGGCACGTCAAACAGAAACAAACAATGGAACATGAGCAAACCCTTAGCACAATTTGTTCAGAATAAAAGTATAGTTTTGCACTGACCGAGAACCATGTTTTTAAACAAGTTCTAAGAGGAACCCATGATGTTCCATTCTAAAATAACACAGTTTGAGCAAAGTTACACTGTATAAGTTTCCTCTTGTTTATTTTAATCTATTGCTTTTTACTGCTCCTGGTTCTTAGAAGGTGGACATAAATTGTCAAGCCGTGTAAGAGATTTTGCAGAGAAATCTGTTGCCGATGTGTAGAGTAGGTCAGAATTAATTCACTGCTAGAAGCAAGGATTGTTCTGATAGTCCTCAAAATGTATGCGTTTGGATGGTGTAATCTTCATAACAACTCCATTTAACTTGCCATCCTCAACAAGTTGCAGAAAGCCTGTGGCTATCTCTGATGTTCTGTAATACAGAAGTATGCAGTTCATTGCAAAGTGGACTCTGGAAAAAAGTTTTTCTTAAGGGCAGTCATTATTTAAGCCTTTTGGAAATGTGATTTAATGAGCAGTCCCTGCAATGCTGTACATGATTGTGGTGGAGATGTGCGGTGGGCAGATTGGCGTGTACAAATGGCACTTTGAGATGTATATTGTGGGTGAAATCTTATGGACAGCAGATGGAGTGGAGTGATGAGCATCTTTGGTTACAGTGGTGTATAAGATGCTTGCAATGGTCTGCACAGTGGGTTGCAGTGAAGTATTTTTTTTACCATGAAGTGCATGTATTTTAGTTTGTCTCCTGTTGTCCTCGCCATTGACACCCAGATAAAATTGGGCATACACTTCATGGCTGTCTGTGGGACATTACAGTGTGCAAATTGCATTCGCCTACAAATACATAATTGCTACAGTCTGCATTAAAATCCTGTGAAGCCTTTCAAGACGTCTTCCTGACATAAAGGGTGCGATGCCAAATGCAAGGATTCTCATTATTATAAAAAAGCCATATAGTAATATGAGTAACAATGGCAAAGACTTAAAAGCCGAATGGCTTCCTTCTTGCTGAAAAATTCAAATTTCCATTTCAGTTAATTTCAGCAGATTCTACAAATTAAGCATTATAAATGAGCCATATTAGTTTTTTGCGCTTATTTGATAATCATGATCAATAAATGCTCTTCCAGAGTTCCGCAGTCATGAGTCTTCCCCCACACTGAACTGATTGTAGGATATCCCTTTAAGAAATAACAGACAATTGAGAAAGAGCCAGTGAAACAGAAGTAGGACATATAAAAGGATCCTGGGACGGGGGGGAAGTAAAAGAGAAATAAAAAAAGGAAAGAGAGAAGGGAAAGGGAGACACAAAGAGTTATTTAATATACTAGTGTTGTCAATTGAGAATAATTACACTGATGATAAAGCGCACTGAGACTCTGTCCGGTGTGAATGGCGCTATATAAATGCGAGTTGTTGTTTTTGTTTAAAATGGGCTTAAATCTCTAAAGATTTTTTCCAACATTTGGAGAGTTTATCTACCCCTCTCGTGCTCAGGCAGATTTTATCTCTAAAATGTTGGGGGAAGGGGTAATCGCTCTAGGGTAAAGCCTATTTGACACATTTCACTGTCCTAATGATTGCTTTGTTTCTTGAGGAAGTGAGGTAAGTACCAGTAAGCTGTCCCCGCGGGTCTGTAGAATGTACAAGGAAGCTCTCGCTGGCTACAAATAGTCTTAACAAATGAATGGGACGCAGAGTCTTAGAGGTACTTTGAAATGCTTGATGTAACGAAAGAAAGTATCAAATGTCCCACTAAAGCAAATACATAGACTTCTCAACATGTTACTGGAATGAACCAAATGCACATTTCAGGAGGAGTGCCTCATGTAACTCATTGAAATATTATGTTAAGATGCTAGTTCATTACTTTTAACTGAACTTTTATCCTCTCATTATAGGAGGTCTATGTGTCTGTATGTTGTGTTTTTTTAGGTCTCTGATGTGTTTTGAAATCAAATATACATTTATGTTGTAACAGAAATTCATATTCTGAATGTCAGTAATAATAATAATAATCCTTGCATTTGATATAGCCCTTTATCAAGTCTTCGAGACATCTCAAAGCACTTCACAAAATATACTATAAAGTGAACTGAATGTATTTTGTGGGTGAAATGCGACAGCCAATTGCACACAGCAGTGTCCCACAAACAGTCGTGGATTGAGTGACCAATTTATTATTGTTTTGAAGGGATTATTATGCCCAGAAAAGCAATCCGCCATTCAACTAACAATCAGGTTCCTATTTAGTGCTAGTTAAACAGAGGGTGTGGAGTAAGGAAACATTTTGTGCAGCCCAGGAATCAATCCCAGATTCTATTGCTTGTGAGGCGAGTGCTCTTACCACTACACTACAGATTCTGGTACTACGTTCTGGGCACTGTGACATAAAATCAGAGCTCAGTTAGTGAGAGAGCCCAGAACAGACTGTCTCAAGGGTAAAATAGATGCTGAGTTAATTGAAGCATTTAAGAGAGAGAGAGATGGATAAATATTTGGAAAAGAAGAATATTAAGTGACATGAAATTAAAGAGTTAATCTAGACTAAATATAGGAGGAGGTCAAATAGGCTCCTGCTCTTGTGTAATAGACAATTCAGGGACAAGTCATGGCTTCCAATGATCCTGAGAGATATGGGATGGTTAGGGTGAGCTATCGATGTTGTCCTTTTTTTTCCATTGCTGCTCAAAACTATTATAAGATGACATTGAGAATCTTTGCTGCAATGGGTTTCAATTACAGCTTTCAGTGTGTGAATATTTCCATGGCTTACCCCACAGTAAACTGCTAACGGGTAATGCCGAAGTAAATAATACCGAATGGGCAGGCTAATGATGCTGAGCAGTTGACGGTAGGTGCATTACTGGAAGGGGAAAGTGATTTAGCCTAAGCCGTTTAGTCAGCCTGGCAGCCTCAGCTTAACTCACATTACAATTTGATCACAGCATTCCAGCAGCTGAATAGCTCTTAACACCTAATCCTAAAAGTGCCAGTGAGATTTCTGCCTCAGTTGGGTGATGCGATTTAAGTTCCCACACTGTGATATTGAAAAGGATATCAGTATTGTCAATCATATACTCAAACCTTCGGAGTAGCTTTTTGTTTTAACATTAACTCTAGCTCCTAACTCTTCCGACGCCTAAAATCAGGATCTGAAATGTTTTGATGGCTAGAAGTGTGTGTGTGTTTGTGTTTGGGGGGTGGGGATCTCTCCTAAATATTTCCTACAACAACAATTCGCATTTATGTAGCACCCTTTATATAGGATAACATCTTGGAGCAATGTACAGTGGCGGGGTTGGATGTCAAACAAGGGAGAAGGGAAAGGGGTCCATAGGTGCAACTGAAGAGAAAGATTTTAAGATGGATTTAAAGAATGACAGATAGGTGGCAAGGCAAAGAGATAGAGGCGGGAAGTTCAGAGGTTAGGGTGTAATAATTAAAAGCTCGGCCACCGATGGTGAGATTGTTTGACCTCCATTCAAAAGGACAATTTTAGCTACTAGAACATTTAAAAAATTTACGGGTGATCACCTTGTCATCATTGTTCCTCTCGTTACTTGTGTATTTTTTAAAAGAAAGTTTTAAAAAATATTTTCTACATATTCTAACTACTAAAATGTACCTTGCATTTTTGTAGGACCTCGTCATGTCCAAATATCTCAAAGTGCTTCCAGAGGAATTGTTATCCAGTCTGGGTTCTCTATTTTGTAGGCAGAGACAGTAGCTATTTGCACAATTAAGATCTCACAAACAGCCATGAGGTGAATTATCAACTAACTGGACATTGTTTGCCAGGATATTGGGACAAGTTCAATTCTCTTTTCGAACAGTGTCAATTGATATTTAACATACATTCTGACTTTGTCCTTATCTACCATCTGATAGATGGCAACTTTGACAACGCAGTGCTCCCGCGATAATGCTCCGAGAGTTAAGCCATCACCATTCGATTCTGTAAAACGTCAACCTTTCTCCCTCCTGTCCATTCTTACTGTGTCACAGTGGTTGGGTCTAAAGACACCCACAGTGCTCAATGGACATGTGGGTCCTAATACTAGTAAGCAGGATTCAAACTATAAAAAATGATCAGGGTAAAACTGGTAACTATTAACCATAATCCTTGCATTTGATATTTGATATAGTGCTTTTTTTAAAATGCATCAGTTTAAAACACAAATACCCAATACTTAAGCCCAAAAGACCATTGCAACACTGAGTGGGCTGTGTTTGGGCTGAACCTACAAATATACAGTCACTACACCTTTCCTGTGATAAACCTTGTAGCAAATGCAAGGATTATAATTATTAACCATTGTGATGTGATGGAGTTCAGGAATTGTGTGTGTGTGTGTGTTCTGTTAATTAACACCAGTTAACATATGTGATGTGTTGCAATTTTCATCCTACAATGCATTTCTGACTTTAAATGGATCACATTGACAAAACTGGCTTCTTTAGATGATAAATCACATTTACAGTAGAGCGTCAGAACCAATTAAAACAAAATGTCAACTCCATCTGGGTTGCGTTAATTCAATCTCAATAAAGTGGCCAGTACGGTCCTCCAGAGAGAGGTCTGCATTCCATTTCCTGCCATAGCAGCATACCCATCATTTCCCGGTTTAAGTGCTCCGAGACTCCGTCTGGTGTGAAGGGCATTATATAAATGCAAGTTGTTCTTGTTATAGGAAATCTCTCCATGTGTAGGTGGAATACATAGATATAACAGCAACAACTTTCATTTTAAAGCACGCCTCACACAGCATAGATTCTCAGAGCGCTTGACAGAGGGGAGCACGACACCAAGCCGGGGGTGAGATGACTGTAGGCACGGTCAAAGAGGAAGGTTTTCAGGCGAGTCCTGACAATGGGGAAGGAGAGAGCAATGCGGAGGAAGAGTATTCCAGAGTTTTGAGGTGTAATGGCTAAAAGTGAAGCATGGCTGGAGGAATGGAGGGCACAGTGGTCATGATGGAGCTCTCAGTCTAATTTGGATACTCATAAGCACTGTGATGGGTTTCTGCAGGTGTCAGACACTTGGCTAACCAAAGAAAACATATTTCAGTCTCCCAGTGTCATGTCACGAGGACATGCTTCACACAGGTTACTGTGAGCCTGAGCGAGCATGTGTGTGTGTGTGAAGGGAGGTGGGGGAGGCTGAGGAGTCGGGAAAGATGGCTCCAGAGGAATGTGCCCTATTTATTATGGTGGCTAAAAACGTGAGCGGGTTTTGAAGGCAGGGAGGTAGGGGACATTTAATTGTCATTCTAAAAAAATTTGAGCACCATAGTAACAGGAAAACCTGAGAACTTACTCTAGTACCCCGATGACATTGATCAGATTTTTGACTCTGTCCTTGAATTGATAAAAGTTGCCAAGATTTTCTTTGTGATTTATCGTATCAAGAATAGAAGTGTTGACAAAGGATGGGCACAGGGCGTTTATGCATATCCCATAGTTTCCAAGTCTTGAAGCTTCCTGAAAGAAAATAAAAAACATGTGATTAGCTTCTTGATGGAAATGATTCCTGTTTTTTTTATTTACGTATTTGTGCTTTGAGCCAAATAAATATTTTCCACCACATATTTTGTATAGCTTGGATCAAACAATTAGCTGAAAAGATTCTGTTACAGAGTCAGAAAGAAGTGCCAATGTGTTGCGATGTTGTAATTTGACACAAGAATCAAATGATGCAAATTGAAGCCAGAGTAGTCTGAACATGATTTCTCCCTTGGGGGTTTCATAATAGGCTGAAGCGCCTTCCCCATATTTATTCCATGTTATTAGATGTATCACATGTTTTACTGAGCAGTTTCACGGTTGCCTTACTTTAAACACATTCGCCAATAGCTGGCAAAGCTTTCACATTCAAGGTAGCAACAAATGCCAGCACAGCTGCTAATATAAACATAGGCCTTCTGCCAGGGTGTTCAATGCTTCACTGCTGGATGTTGTACCTTCTGTCATTTCCCTTTTTAAATTAATATTGTCCAAGGGTGCATTAAAACAGATAATACTTCAGTTTTCTTTTTTGGTCAGCCTAGTGTCTGACATATACGGAAACCCATCACCATGTTTAAACCATGGAGCCTTGTAACGTATTGCTTAGCTTGCTCGCCTCGCAAGCAAGTAGATCCAGGTTCGATTCCCGGGCTTGGTGAAACATTAGGTGATTTTCCTTACTCCACACGCCTCGGTTTACCTAGCATTAAATAGTAACCCGGTCAGTTGTTAGTCGATTGTCAGGTTGCTTTTTTGGGGGTAATAATCCCTTCATCAAAAAAATAAACAAATGATTTGGTCACTCAATCCAGCACTTTGAGACATCTCAAAGACGTGATAAGGCGCTTTAACAAATGCAAGGATTATTATTATGAAGGATCACAGCAAAGCATGTGAAGTTGTTTGAAACAACATAATAAGGCACTATATTGAATTATTATTATTTATGTATGCATGGCATGCNAAAAAAAAGACTTTTATTTCTCTAATGAAAACTAGTTTTGCGCTTTGAGATGTTGTCAAAACTCCTCATGTGAAAGGGGCGGTATCAAATGTAAAGAGTATTATTATTAAAGGAACAGCATCATAAGATAAATCTTCTGAGCAGAAAATATCGCAAGACCAGTGTAAATCATACGAGGAACATCAAAATTCACTGGTGAAATTGGTGGAACAATTCGCAATCCCACCCACACTAAAATGTTCGAGACCCTTCCTTCTCACCCCTTCCTTTGCACCTCATCCCCTCGCTATCCAATACATTTGCATGCAAACAGAAATACATTAACATCTTCAGCAGTGATACAAAGGCTATTTGGAAACTAAATGAATGACTGAGTAACAGAGAGCAGTATATCACCACGATTATAAAGAGTAGCGGATATGGATATTGGTTTCTGCATTTTCGACTTATTCATCTATCAAAGCTGCATTTTCTTCCTGCATCTCTGAAAGAGATTCTAAAATAGTTATTTTTTTCCTTCCTCTTTACTTTTGAGTTCTGTTTTGAATCCTTTTCAGTTCCCTTAATCCTGAACTCACGACCCCAGAATTTCCATTACCATCTTATGTATCAACAGTTTTATTAATGGCACTCACTCTTTTGGGCCAAACCTTATTATTTGACTTTAAGCTCCTGGTGCAGACCAAAATTACAGTGTAAAGCTCTGGTCAGGCCTCACCTGGACAACTGGGTATAGGTTTGCTTCCATGCCATTGGGCTACCCAATCCCTAGAGACCGTGCACAGAGGAACATCAAGGATGATCTCCAGTGTTAGTGGATTAATTATACGCAATGATTAGACAAGGTAGGGTTCTTCACTCTTGAAAAGACATGTCAAAACATATAAGGGCATATAAGATTTTAAAATTAAATTGAGAAAGTAAATTTTGAACAATATTTTTGGATGCACTGAGACAGCAGAACAAGAGGACACAGGTTTGGAATTGAAAAGGGCAATTTCAGAGCAGATATCAGAAAATATTTATTTAATAAGATTGCAATTAACAACTGGAGCAGGTTATAACAATATAATAATCTTTGCATTTAAAATTTGAACCTTTACAAATTGCTGGTTAGGCCTCAGCTGAAGTATTGTGTCCAATTCTGGGCACCACATTTTAGGAAGGATGTAAGGGCCTTGGAGAGGGTGCAGAGAAGATTTACAAGACTTATACCAAAGATGAGGGACTACAATTATGTGGGGAGACTAGAGAGGCTGGGATTATTCTTATTGGAGCATAGAAGGTAAAGGGGAGATTTAATAGAGGTGTTCAAAATTATGAGGGGTTTTGTTAGAGTATTAGAGGAAGAAACTGTTTTCACTGGCGGGTGGCTTGGTAACCAGAGGACACAGAATCCAAATAATTAGCAAAAGAACCAGAGGAGAGGCGAGGAGAATTTTTTTTACCCAGTGAGTTGTTACAGTTTGGAATGTATTGCCTGAAAGGGTGGTGGAAGCAGATTCGATAAGAGATTTCAAAAAAGAAACAAATTGCAGAGCTATGGGGGTAAGAGAGGGGGAGTGGGACTAGTTTGTGGCTGTTTCAAAGAGCCAGCACAGGCATGATGGGCCGAATCGTCTCCTGTGCTTTAAAATTCTATGATTCTATATAGCATCTTATCACGTTGTTGAGTTGTCTCAAAGTGCCTCACAGGATTTTACTGTGATTTGTAATGATTGTTGATTTGTAAGGGAATGTAGTAGCCAATTCACACACAGGAATGTCCTACAAACAGCCATGAAGTGTATGAAAAATTTTATTTTGGGGGATTGTTGGCCAGGAGCCCAGGAGAAACTCTCTTCTCATCTTCGATATTGCCACCACACTCTGATAAAAATTCATCATCATGTCCTTACTTTTGATTTAGTGGCTGTGCACATAAAATCCAGAATCCCGTTTACCCTTTTAACAGCCTTCACTAGCTGTAGGTTTGTGAGCTTCATTTTTACTGCTCTTCCAGAAAGTGATGAATGCAAATGTTCCAGATTCTTTCATGAGCACATTACAGAAATGTTAGCTTTGCATGGCAATATTTCAGTATTCAAATGTTTGAAACAACTGAATGGATGACTGCGCAACTGTGAAGTCACTCAAAGGAGCTGTACATTGTAATTAAAATCTCTAAAACCTCATCAAATTGACAGTGCAGATCCTGCCGGGGCAATCTCTTTGAGAATGTCAACTTGATGAATGTTAGCAGTCAAAAATGGAACAGTACAGTTCCCATTGCTTGTCACCAACATTGGTACATTTCGCTTCCACCCCGACCACCCTCCACCCCCGGCTCGTGTGATAATTATATAGTTAGATCTGGCCTTGAATTGCAAGCTAAAACCACTAAAATCATTATAATAATAATCTTTGCATTTTATACAGTGCCTACAATATCAAAATGCTTCACAGGGAATTGCTTTCCAGTCTAGTCTGTATTTGTAAGCAAACGTGACTTCTAATCTGTACACAGCAAGATCCCATAAACAGCCATGAGGTGAATGACCAATTTTATCTGGGGGACTGTTGGCCAGTACACAGAGAATCTCCATTCTTTTTTGGGACAGTGTCATGTTCTTTTTAATGTGTAGCCAAACAAGCAAACAGAACTATGGTTTGATGTCTCATTCAAAAGATAGTGCCTCCAACAATACAGAGCACACCCAGAACTGTACTGATAATGTCAACCTGCACTATATATATTTGTATCAAGGACACTGGCGATATTCAGTCTTAACTCTAATCTACAAAGGAAAAATTCTGGAACTATGAAATGTTTCAGACAGTAATTTCCTTGTTTTTGCTTATCAAATGACTACAATCTAAGTCTCTACCATGTTCTCTGACTCAGAGGGTGATGGAGTGTGAAGTAAGCAGGTAAGAGAGGTAGGGAGGTGCCAGGGCATGAAGGGAATTGTAGACACGTGTGAGGATCTTGAAATCGAGAGGTCCTGGAAGAGCCTGTGTCTAAAATTACTGTTAGAGGAGAGCTCCTGGGCATTAGAGCAATTTCATATTTGTAGCTGGCTGTTGGAGATCACTGTGAGATGAACATTGATTTGAATAATATTACAGAATCAACCGGTGTCAAGATTATCAAGTATTCAGCTCTCATTCATATACTTACAGCAAGTGATCTGGTGAAACCAACCACCCCATGTTTTGAAGCCGTGTACACTGGAGCATGTGCTGCTGGTAAGAAACCTGAATAAATTGAACAAAGCACATGATTAATTAACACTTATTTTGCAGTGTCATCAACTGTCATCCCATCCCCCCAAATTATCGTCAGCCTGCCTTGGTTGACAGCACTCTCGCCTTTGAGTCAGAAGGTTGTGGGTTCAAGTCCCACCTTGGTACTTTGAACCCATATAGTCTATTCTGACACTCCGATACTTTGATGGTGCATTGAATTGTCAGTAGTGTCATCCTTCAGAGAAGACAGTAAATTGATGACACAGTGAACTATTCAGGTGGACTTTAATGATCCTATGGAGCTATTTGAAAAGAGAAGGGAATTTCTCCCAGTATCCTGGCCAACAATCCTCAAATACAACAACAACAACAACACGATTACATTTGTATAACGCCTTTCACGTCGGGAGGACATCCCGACGTGACCAATAAAATTGGTCGCTCATTCCATGGCTGTTTGTGGGACTTTGCTGCAAATTGGCTTTGTAAAATACACAGTCACTACACTTTACAGTGATTCCCTGTGAAGTGCTTTGTGATATTTTGACCACATAGGGACTATACCAATAATAATACTTAGATGATAGTACCTTTCACATTGGGAAGATGTCACCTGTAATAATTCAGCACTACAATGGAGTGTCACTGTGCTCGAGGTGCTACGGTGGATTGAGGGATACCATACAAATACAAGTTGTTATTGTTACTGTTGTTGTTGAGTAGACAATATCAGTTCAAAGTGCCAACATGGCAACCCATTACCTTCTGACTCAGAATCAAGAGTGCTACCAACTGAGCCAAGCTGAGCCAGATCAACTACAAGGATTATTATATTATAAATCATTTTTCATTTTTAAATATTTGGACAGTTCAGCAGCCATACTGAAAATGTATGTATCCGCGTGGTGTGTATTAAGTACAAAACAAAAGACACTATGGACAGTTGTGGAAGCATTGTGCAGAACAGCATATTTACCTTTTGTGTGCTTAATTATTTGACGTTGAGATGGAGAGGTAGAGAGTGAGAGCTGAGAAATTTAAGTCCGCAGCAGAGCTGGACAGTCAGAATTGAGATAGCTTCTCCGTAGGTGACTCAGCATGTCACAGGAAGTCAAAAGTGAACCAATGTTCCCAATAAAACAAACAGTGTAGCAATGCAAGTACCAACAACACACAGGCTGTGACGTACATACATGAACTAAAAATCCTATGCAAATATTTTAACCTTTTATTGTACTGTACAGTTCAGAGGCAACACTTAGCATTTTGCAATTCAGGGAGAAGTCTGACTTGTACTAAGCTTTTGAACAATAAAGAGCCAATATTTTGCAATCTGAGTGGCAGTTTTGTCATCAGTCGGAAATTTTAACAAGGTAAAAGATTTTAACTGATAAGTTCTAGCCGTGTTGCTAATAGATAATCAGGAAAATAGTGGCGTCTTGTAGCTTAGTGGTTAGAGCACTTGTCTCACAAATGAGACGACATGTGTTTGATTCCCAGTAGGATGAAACAATGGGCAAGTTTCCTTACTCCACTCGTCTCTGTTTACCTAGCAGTAAATAGGAATCCTGTTGTTATTCGATTGGCGGATCGCTTTTCTGGAGGTAATAATCTTTTTAAAACATGGTCACTCAGTCCACGACTGTTTGTGGGACATTGCTGTGCGCAATAGGCTGTGGCATTTGGCCCACAAAATATACAGTCAATTCACTTTCCAGTATATTCTGTGAAGTGCTTTGAGATTTCGCAAAGACGGATAAGTTGCTACATCAAATGCAAGAATTATTTATTATTATTAGTTATAATTCATTTGCAGAACTTCCAATTTGATCCAATTCAACTGAGCATGTCCCTTTAATCCTGGATTTGATGTATAAAGGAACAGAATGTTCTTTGTAGAATACAGGAGTGTAGGAATAGGATTCGGAGTCCTGTGGCGCAATGGTTAGAGCACTCGCTTTGCAAGTGAGAGACCTGAGTTCAATTCCAGGCAGGGCGAAACCTTGGGCAAGTCTCCTTACTCCACACACCTAATAATAATCCCTCCAAAACCAAAAACAATAATAAATTGGTCATTTTCAATCTTCGACTGTTTGTGGGACATTGCTGTGCGCAATTGGCTGCCGCGATCGCCCACAAATATACAGTCAATTCACTTTACAGTGTGTTCTGTGAAGCGCTTTGGGACGTCCTCCCGACGTGAAAAGCGCTATATCAAATGCAAGGATTATTATTATTATTATTAAGGATTCTGCCTATCAATCCTCCTCTAGCACTTTAATGTGCAACATGCTTTATTGTTTCAGTTTCCTTGCATAATGTCAGCTGTTGGATGAATAGCTACTATCTTTGATTAGAAAATATTTAATTTTAAGTTTAATTTATTTTCTACATTTTATATTTGAATCCCTGGTGGGATGTGAGCAGAGAAGCTGGAAGGGGAATATGCTAGAGACATTTACACCTCTCATCTCTGAGTCAAAAGGTTGTGAATTGAAGCCCCACAACAGCACTTAGTCTAGACTGATGTCCAATACATCGCTGCAGTGTGTCATGTTGTTGGAGGTGCGTTCCTTCAGGTGAGAAATTAAACCAAGGTATGATATCAGTTTTTTTCTGAAAGATGATTCTCCAGGTCCATGAGAGAAACTTGTTCTCTTTTCAAGTTGCGTCATATGGGATCTGTTATTTCTGATGTGATATCTGATTTATTTCATCTGCCCTATCATCAATTCTAGAAAACACAAAGTCAAATAAAAAAAACTGGTATTGTCAGCAACATTTATAACATTTATGATCCTGACTGCTGTGTTTGGTGATGGAAGAGGGAGAACCAGAAAGACCAGGATAAGATTTGAATACATATGGGAATGTGTAGTAAAATCTCACCACAATTTGAATGAAGGTTTCAAATCACATGTAGAACAGTAGCAACAACAATGTTTTACAGTATTGTCAGCAATACCAGTCTCTCCCACACTCCCCAAAGACCATAAGTAGTGTTCTTCCTATCTCAGTCTATAATACTGTAAAACAGTATTCCCATATGTATTCAAATCTTATCCTGGTCTTTCTGGTTCTCCCTCTTCCATCACCAAACACAGCAGTCAGGATCATAAATGTTATAAAGTGGCAAAGAAAATAAAGGTGTGATTGGTATGCAGTTTCAGAACTCCAGTTCTAATACTTAAACCAAACCTTGTGTATCTTTCCAATGAAATCCAGTCCAGCCATTCCCTCACCTGGAATTTGTATACCAGCCTGGCTCAGGTGGTAAGACTCTTACCTCTGAGGCAGAAGGTTGTGGGTTTACTTCCCACATTGGAGTTTAACCGTGCAAAGTGTAAAGTAGTATACGTGTGGTTTTGATGGAATAATAGTAGTTGAGAGTGTGTTTTAAATGAGGAAGCATTAGGAGGGGCAGGTGAGAAGAGAGACTTGGATTTATATAGCGCCCTCCACGCTGGACGGCGTCTCAGAGCGCTTCACAGTAACGGATCTCAGGGCCGAGCCGGGGGAGGGAGAGGAAGGTGACCAAAGGCGCGGTCGAAAAGAAAGGTCTTCAGCTGAGACCTGAAAATAGGAAGAGAGGGAGCAAGGCGAAGGGAGTGAGGAAGGGAGTTCCAGAGCCTCGGGGCGTAGTGGCTGAAGGCATGGCCACCGATGGTGGAGCGGAGGATTCGGGGGACAAGGAGGAGGCCAGACCCAGTGAAGCAAAGGCAACGGGCACTGTTATGAGGAGAGAGGAGGAGAGAGGTAGGGGGGTGCAGAGAAGTTGAGGGATTTGAAGACAAGAGTGAGGACCTTGAAGTCGATCCTCTCTGGGACAGGCAGCCAGTACAGTCTGGCAAGGACTGGGGTAATCAGGGAGGAGTTTAGTGCGGGTAAGAATGCGGGCAACATATTGAGTTTTGGATGACCCGGATTTTATGGATGGTAGTGGAGGGGAGGCTGGTGAGGATAATCCAGCCGAGAGGTGACAAAGGCATGGACCAGGGCTTCAGCGGCTTTTGGAGTGAGATATTGGCAGAGATGGGCGATGCGTCGGAGGTGGAAGAAAGCGGTGCTGGTGAGGGACCGGATGTGGAAGAGGAAGGATAATTGGGGGTCGAACCTGATCCCTAGGTTGCGTACAGGTTTGAAGAGTTTTAGGGGTAGGTCGGGTAGGTGGAGGAGGTGAAAACCATGTGATTTTAGATGTTGACGAGAGCCAAAGAGTATGGCTTCCGTCTTATCAACATTTAGCTGAAGGAAATTCGCGCTCATCCAGCTTCTGATGTCTGACAGGCAGGCTGACCGAACATCAGGGGACTGGGGGTCGCAAAGTGAGGTTCAAGTTCATGGACAATGAAATATTTAATTTACAAGTTCAGAAAGCAAATGGGACGCTGGGATTTATTAAAAGAGATCTGGAAAATAAAAGTAAGGAGGTGCTTCTCCAGTTATGTATAGCACTGGCCAGACTTCATCTGGAGTACTATGCTCAGTTATGGGCAGCTGATCTTAGGAAGGAAATACTCGCCATGTAGGTGAACGGCGATGGTTCTATTCCTGCTTTCTGCATCTGCGATGGGCATGCAGGTAAAAAGGACTTGAGTGGCCAAATTCCAGATGAGCAGCAGATTTCTCCCAGTGTCATAACCAACAATCGCCCAGGTGAAATTGGTTGCTCACTTCATGGCTGTTAGTAGAACATCGCTGTCCGTAAATTGGCTGTTATGTTCACCTACAAATACAGAGTCACAAAACTTCACAGTAAAATTCTGTGAAGCGTTTTGGGACACCTGACAATGTGATAAGATGAGATAATAAATGTAAGGGTAGCTATTATTATGATTATTATTATTGTGGATGGTGGAGCTGTCTTGGGACTTCTAGAGCTGGAAAATTGCTGACTTGGAAAATAAAGCAGTAGGAGTAATTCTATATATCTGTAGTAAGTTAGTTATATTCCTATCAGGAGTACATGTACAACTGCAGGTAAGCTTGCTCTCAGCTCCCAGAGAAGGCAACACCTAAAGGAATAACAGATTGTTGTTAATTCACAAACCTCCCTGAGGTATAGTCAGCTTTTGGCATATGATTAAATTTATTTCAGCAATCCGCCCTCAATTTCTACAGCATACTTTGTTTTGATCTGTTATATATGAGCTCAATATAATCTGCAATTAAATCAGCCATGACAGTTAATTCAATAGAGTGATGGGTATTAATAGGCTCCTGCCCTAGGTTTTCCCTTGTTTTACTGTGGATTTTAAAATAATAATAATGTGGGGAAGTAATATTGGAAATAATAATAATGTGGAGAAGTAACGTTGGAAATAATAATAATAATGTGGAGTCTTGTAGCGTAGTGATTAGCATGCTTGCCTCATAAGCGAGAGGAGCTGGGTTTGATTCCCGGGCAGGGTGAAACCTTAGTCAAGTTTCCTTACTCCACACGCCTCTGTTTACCTAGCAATAAGGAACCTAATTGTTAGTCAAATGGCGGTAATAATCCTTAAAAAAATTGGTCGCCCAATCCACAACTAGTTGTGGGACACCGCTCTGCTGCTGTGTTTCGCCCACAAAATACACAGTCACTCCACTTTACAATATATTCTGTGAAGCGCTTTGAGACATCTCAACAACATGATAAGGTACTATATCAAATAGAAGGATTATTATTATAATAATAAGGATCTTTATATTTGGTAATGGTGCTTTTCACGTCAGGAGGATGTCCCAAAGTGCTTCGCAGGATAACTACAAAGATGGAGTGACAATGTGTTTTATGAGTTAATGTGGCAGCAGCAGTGTCCCATAAATAGCCATGAAGTGAATTACTTTATTTTGAATGAATTGTTGGTCAGGAAACCTGGAGAAACTCTCTTCTCTTTTTGAATAATGCCCTAAGCAAATGTACAGCAAAGAGGCTGGCATAGCATAATAGCGCACATACTCATATAACCAGCATACAAATTAATATCCTTGCATTTGAAATATATCTGATCATCATGAAAACTTCTCAAAGCGCTTCACAGCATTTGTTGTAGAACGTAATGACTGCATTTTGTATGTGAACATTAAGTATATATACAGTATACATGCAGATACATAGCAATAATAATAAAACTAATCCTTCCATTTGATTTAGTATTTTGTCTTAAAATTTAAGATTGGGCAGAATTGTGAAGAATTCATAACTTCAGTCTTAATTTGAATGCTAGTTCTTTTCAAAAACAACAGAAACTGGATTCCCAACCGAGACCGATTTCTTCCGGTTCAGGTGGACATGAAGTTCCCATGGCACTATTTGAGAAGAGAAGGGGTTTCTCCCCTCCAAGTCAGAAGGTTGTACCAGTGCATATTGGATGAGATGAATGGCCCATTTCCATTCCGTATCACTCAATGTTGTGGGTTTGAGTTCTAGGTTTGAACCTTGAGCTGGGCCAACAATCCAATACAGTGCTATGGCTGCACTGCATTGATGGAGGTGCTAGCCTTCAGATGAGGCAACAGTTAGGACTCCAGGAGAAACTCCCATAACTTTTTAAATAGTACCATGGGATCTTTTATGTCCACCAGGCAGATAGGACTTTGATTTACCATTTAATCTGAAGGGCAGGAATTCTAGCACCAGATGAAATCAGTGACATGGTAAGAGCAAGTTAGTGCCAGCCATCTTATTGCACTAATCCTTTGTATGAAGGTATTGCGTTCCGAGACGCAAAGGGTGCTATATAAATGCAAGTTGTTGTTATTGTCCTGCAAGACCTCTGACATCATGCTATTAGCATCTTAGGGTCTTCATGAAGCAAATAGGACTTTATATAGAACCCCCCGTGCAGTCCCAACTGCCTTTCAATTGAACTGCTGAGAGTTGATATGTTTGAAGAGAAAATTTGCTCAAGTATAACAAAGAATGTCTATGCACTGCATATTCAAGGTGTTTTCTTCACAGATGGATAAAATGATGGAACTAACACATAAAATGCGCACATAAAATAAAGAATGTATTTACCGGACATCTTCTACTGCAATCTTACATTGTAAGATCAGCATTGCAACCTGCCTGGAATACGTAGTAGAAAATGTTGCTGACAGTTTAACAGTTCAATCACTCAACATACAGATTTATAGCATTTGTAACCATGCATACTGCAGTATCCGTCACCTTATGCTGGATTTTTTTGATCTATTTTTCCAGTTAGTCGTGTGATGAATGCAAATATTCAAAAAATGCGCTGCCAACATCATTATCAAAAGGAAACTAAAAAATGTACTGGCTGCATCTGAAATCAGTTTTCACACAAAATAAAGGGAAATAACTTGGATTTGATTATCATGCCTTATCAAGTTGAAACATTTCAAGTGCTTCACAGGTACTCAGTCTCAAGTGTAGAAGTGTTGTACAATTTTTGTAGGCAAACACGGTAGCTTACTTACACCAGCAAGGCTCAACAAGCAGCTATGATGTGAATTAACTATTTTTTCTTTGGGACTTTTGGACAGGATACGGGAAGAAATTCCCTTCTCTTTGATTTGAATCGTGCCTTGGCATATTTAATGTCCACCTGAAGAGGCAGACCTGGATCTCAGTTTAACATTTTATCTGAAGGATGGTACCGCTGACCATGCAGCACTCCACCAGAATTGTATTGGAGTGTCATTATCGACCTCGAGTTTAAAATCCTAACATGGGCATAAACCCACAAGCTTCTGATTCAGTGGCAAGTTTACCAATAAAGGGTAACTAATACATTGTAGTGTGCAACAGAGCAGTAATACACTCTGATAGATTCCAAAACCATGCTAGCAAAATCTGAGCAGTTTGTTAAATTAATTTCAACCCAATTATTATTGTTGACTGCTGTGACAATACCAATTTAAATTTATAAAGTACCTTTCACTTCTGGAGGATGTTCAAGTCACTGAACAAACCAGGATTTGTACGTCAGCTGGAATGGGGGCGAGGGGTGGGGGAAAGATGGCCAAAAGTGCAGTCAAAGAGGAAGGTCTTAAGGTGCACAATGAAGGAGGTGAGGGAAGGTGTAGTACTAAAGGGATTTGGGGGTAGAGTTCCAGGGACAGCAGGACTGAAAACCTATCCGCCGATGGTGGGGTGAGTGAAGCAGGCCAATGTCTGCTGAGCAGAGAGTGCGGCCAGATTGGTAGCGTGGAGCAAGACTACTGAGAGATTTAAAGGTTAATTATTCATTTAAGTTATTCATTAAAGTATATAAACAAAATTCTGTTTCTTCATTTTCAAAAAAAGGAAGTGAATTTTAATTAGACAGTGCAATGCTTTGTACCTTATAGTACAGGACACTGCTAGAAATTAATTTTAGAGTTAAATATACTTTCCTGTCTATCAACAACAATTGATAGAATTGATAGAACTCTGCCACTACCTCACCCCTCAGGCCGCTGAAACTCATGTTCGTGCCTTCATTACCTCCAGGCTCGACTATGCAAATACCCTGCTTGTCGGCCTTCCCAACTCCTCCCTCGACAGGCTGCAGATATTCCAGAACTTCTCGCCTGACTCCATTGGCTCCCTATCCTTCAGAGGATCGAGTTCAAGATCCTGGTCCTCACATACAGAGCCCTCCATGTCCTCGCCCCACTCTACCTCTGCGACCTCCTAACCTCCTACCAACCTGCCGATCCCCCTGCTCAGCCGGCTCTGGCCTGCTCCACATTCCCCGACCCACCCACCTTCATGGCCTTCAGCCACTCTGCCCCCAACCTCTGGAATTCCATCCCCCAGTCACTCTGCCTCGCCCCCTCCTCCTGCAACATCAATGCTGTTTTTGTTATATTGAGTCCAATGTCCTGGCTTCAAAGTACTCTTTCTGGAAACCTAATACACTCTAATTAATCTCTGGGTAAAGAAATATTTCCAGGTATCTGTCCTGAAATTAAGCTCTCTGAGATGCTATCTTGTATGGAGGTTGCTCTATAATTGCAAGTTATTGTTGTTAGTGTTGAGATTGCTCTTTGCAACCTTACAACTATGCCCTCTTGTGCTGCAGCCTTAGTGCATCCAAAATATTGTTTTGGGTTTATTTTCTCAATCCTATTTAAACCCTATATACTTCTGTAATTTCCCCTCTAAGACATCTATTTTCAAGACTGAAGAGCTCCAATTTATCTAAAACTCCTCTAACACTGAGGATTAGATATTTCCATTGACAATTCCATTTTATCAATGTGTTGATAGTGCCTCTTGTATTCTATCACTGGTGCACATCCCGATCTGTGCTGAGTTTCCTCGTCTCATTCAGGGTTACATGGGAAACCTAAATTTGCCTTCCCACAGTTAGGGAAGGGAAAACCAGCTCTTGCTCCTGGTCCCTCTATTGAACCCTCTACTGGTTGTGATTGTCTGTGGCAGCTGGGTGGTCAAGCTCGGCAATGATGACCTCTACAGTAGAGTGGCTGGCTGACGTTCACTGCAAAGGCTGACACATGAACAGTGGTCACTTGGGTGGGATGCTGGAGGGCAACCAGCGAACAGAAAATCACAGCCTAGTAAGAGGTGGCCAGACCAGGAGCAGAGAGGCATATACCATTGGGGAGAAGATTAGAACAAAAATAATTGGACAAAAAGGAGTTTAATTCTTATCTTTCAATACCTGTAAATTGCACAAAAAGCAACAACTTGGATTTATATAGCGCCATCCATGTAGGACGGCGTCTCAGAGCACTTCACAGTAACGGATCCTTTCACAAACTACCCTGGGGAAGGAGGATATCTACCCCCCTGTAAATATATTGACCACTTTGACATTATTTGTGAGAAGTTTTATTTTGACCTTACTTGACATAGAAGCCACATTCACAATGTTTCCACCTTGTCCACCATGGTCATGCCTCATGTGCTGTACTGCCAGATAACTTGCTTGTATCAAAGCCACCTATATACAAACACAAAGATCATATGAAAAGACTGCACAGTGTGTAAAACAATACTTCAACTTACACATTAATCCCCCAAATCAAATAGGTCATTCACTTCATGACTGTTTGTGAGAGGTTGTTCTATAATAATAATCCTTGCATTTGATATAGTGCCTTATCACATATTTGAGACGTCTCAAAGCGTTTCACAGAATATACAATAAAATGAATTGACTGTATATTTTGTGGGTGAAACGTGGCATTCAATGGCATACAGCAGTGCCCAACAAACAATCATGGATTGAGTGACAAAATTCTTCTTAATTTTTTTAAGGAATTCTTACCCCCGGAAAAGCAATCCACCAATTGACTAACAAACGGGTTCCTACTTACTGCTAGTCATGTAGAGTAAAGAAACTAGCCCAATGTTTTGTCCTGCCGGGAATCAAACCCAGGGCTATCACTTGCAAAATATTTATTAATGAACCATGCACATCATGGATGTCTGTGAGGCCTTGTCTACTATCATAGTCATTATACTGACAAATGATTATCAGTGTTTGAGACATGCTTTGAGACATTTTGATGTCAATAGAAATGAAAGTTCTCTTTTTAATTCTAGTTCTGAGACTGGCTCAGAGGAGATATTATAAAGAGAGATAAAACCTGTGAAATGTTCCTTTCAAGGTGATGGAAGATAACCCTGAGGGAGAATTGCAGCAGGGATGACAATATGAAAGTGCAGGACAGAGAAGAATGTTTTTTAAAACAATTATTATTAACACAATTTATTAAAAAAAGATGAGGGTAATTTTGCGAACTAAACATCACCAAAACTAAGGAAACTTCATTGCTCTGTACTTACCAGATTGACAGCAATTGTCTTTTCCCACATGTTTTCATTGTTGATCCCAGCATTGTTGCACAATATATCGATTCTTCCAAACTCCTGCACTACTTTATTGAAGGTGTCTAGAAAAGAAAAAACATTGTGTTTTCATTTACTCATAAATAAAACTTCATTTTGTATTGCATTCAATTCTGTGAAATTATGGTTTCCTCTGGAGAGAGACCACACATTCCATTCCAGACACAGGGAAATTTCCTTGAAAATTGGCAGACTGAAAAAAATGGTTTCTTGCACACCCACAGCTACAATTTTACAGCTGTTGATCTCTGCTCCCAGACGGAATATTCCTGTAGTGTATTGGTTGGAGCACTCGCCTCCCAAGCGAGAGAACCCGGGTTCGATTCCCAGGCAGGGCAAATCTTAGGCAAGTTTCCTTATTCCACGTCACTGTTTTCTTAGCAGTAAGTTGGAACCCAGTTGTTAGTCAAGTAGCGTTTTGCTTTCTAGGGGTAATAATCCCATTTTTTTTTGATAATTTAATAATAATAATTAAAAAAGTCACTTAGTCCACGATTGCTTGTGGGACACTGCTTGTATGCAATTGGCTGCCGTATTTCTCCCACAAAATATGCAGTCAATTCACCTTGGAGTGTACTCTGTGAAGCGCTTTGAGACGTCTTGAAGAATGATAAGGCGCTATAGCAAATGCAAGGATTATTATTATTATATTCACTTCTTCTCCATTGAAATGCCATGAAAAACTCACTCACCATAAACCTCAACTTATTCAAACCTCCACTGCCTGCATTTTCACTCACACCGAACTCTGCATGTCCATCACTCCAATCTTTGCCAGGCTCCACTGGCACTAAATGGAATAACTTCAAGATCACTACATTTTTCTGTAATTCCTGTGAAGTGCTTTGAGCCACCTCAATGATATGATAAAGCAAGATATGAAATGCAAGGATTATTATATTATTAAAGGTTCAAATCAAAATTCTATATTATCCATATCTGAGGAGATTCATCTGTCATTTACACACTGCTAGAAACAATGTGTGAAGCAGACTTCCCTCTCCTACTCTCTCTCTGTTCCACTCTTTAGTGACTTTACTAACTACAGTTTTAATGCTAATTTGGTCTTTGTTCCCCTGAAATATCTCTCTTGATCCCCTGAAATATCTCAGTCAAAGGTAAAGACCCTCAACTGGAAGCGGGCTAATTTCAGTGAGCTAAAAAGGGACCTGGCCAAGATAGATTGGAAAGAAAGATTGGCAGGTAAGACAGCAAATGAACAATGGGAAGCCTTCAAGGAGGAGATAGTTTGGGGACAGAGCAAATACATTCCCATAAAGGGGAAAGATAGGACAGTCAAACCTCCCTGGATGACTAAGGAAATTGGGATTAAAATAAAACAGAAAAAGAAGGCTTATGACAAATGTCAGGTCCAAAACACGCAGGATAATCAAACAGAATATAGGAAGTACAGAGGAGAAGTGAAAAGGGAAATAAGGACAAAAAGATTGTACGAGAAAAGATGAGCAGGAAACATAAAAGAGAACCCTAAGGTATTTTATAAGCATATCAAGAGTAAAAGGTTAGTCAAAGGTAGAGTGGGTCCAATTAGGGACCCAAGTGGAAATCTTCTTGTTGAGGCAGAGGCCATGGCTGATGTACTAAATAAGTACTTTGCAACTGTCTTCACAAAAGAAGACGATGCAACCAATGCCACAATATCGCAGGCGTGTGAACAGAAATTGGATATAAAAATCAACGGAGAGGGGGTACTAAAAAGGCTGTTGGTGCTCAACATAGATATGTCACCTGGTCCAGATGGGATGCATCCCAGGTTACTGAGGGAAGCAAGGGTGGAATTAGCGGAGGCTCTGGCCACAATCTTTCAATCCTCTTTGGACACTGGAGTGGTGGCAGAGGACTGGAAGGTTGCAAATGTTACTCCCCTGTACAAAAAGGGGCAGAAGGATAAGCCTGAGAACTACAGGCCAATCAGCCTAAATCAGTAGTAGGGAAACTTCTGGAGACTATAATCCAGGATAATATAAATTCTCACTTAGAAAAATATGGTTTAATAAAGGACAATCAACACAGGCAGATCATGTCTGACAAACCTAATAGAATGTTTTGATGAAGTGACTGAGAAGGTGGATGAAGGTAGTGCAGTAGATGTAGTTTATTTAGATTTTAAAAAGGCATTTGCCAAAGTAACACATAAGAGACTTACAAACAAAATAGAAGCCCATGATATTAAAGGGACTGTGGCAACATGGATCCAGAACTGGCTAGGAGACAGAAAGCAAAGAGTGGTAGTAAACGGTTGCTTTTCTGACTGGAGGGAGGTGTGTAGTGGTGGTATCCCTCAGAGGTCGGTATTGGGACCACTTCTCTTTCTGATCTATATTAATGATCTACACCTGGATATAGGGAGCACAATTTCCAAATTTGCAGATGATACTAAGCTACAGGAAAAGTAGATAATGGTGAGGAGGATAGCACCAGACTCCAAGAGGACTTAGATAGATTGGTAAAATGGGCAGAAACGTGGCAGATGAGGTTTAATGTGGAGAAATGTGAAGTGTTGTATTTTGGTAGGAAGAATGAGGAGAGACAGTATAAGCTAGATGGTACAATCCTACAGGGGGCAAATGAACAGAGAGACCTGGGGGTTTCACATAAGCAAATCTCTGAAGGCGGCAGGACAGGTAGATAAAGCTGTTAAAAAAGCATACGGGTTACTAGGTTTTGTAAATAGGGGCATAGAATTCAAAAGTCAGGAGGTTATGTTGAATATTTATAAAATGCTGGTTAGGCCTCAGTTGGAGTATTGCGTTCAGTTCTGGGCACTGCACTTTAGGAAAGATGTTAGGGCATTGGAAAGGATGCAAAGGAGGTTTACCAGGAAGGTACCAGGAATGAAGGACCTTAGTTATGACGAGAGGTTAGCGAAACTAGGATTATTCTCCCTGGAGCAGAGAAGATTAAGAGGGGATTTAATAGAAGTTTTCAAGATCATGAGAGGATTTGATAGGTTGAACCGGATAAAACTGGCATGTTGGTCAGTAACCCGAGGACATCAATTTAAGTTAGTTGTTAAAAGAAACAGAGGGGAGGTTAGAAATTTTCACCCAGCGAATTGTTTGGATCTGGAATGCATTACCTGAAAAGGTAGTGGAAGCCGATTCAATAACAACTTTTAAGAGAGAAGTAGATGGGTATTTGGGGAGGACAAGATTGCAGGGCTATGGAGAGAAAGTGGACCAGTGGGATTGAGTAAGATTGCTCTTTTCAGAGTTGGCACAGACATGATGGGCCGAATGGCCTCTTTCTGTGCTGTATGATTTTATGATTCTATGATTCAAGAGACATAATTGTGAGTCACCTAACTACCATTTCCCAATGTGACTTGTCTGTTTCAGCCTTGGCAGTATACTGACTTATGGACTTTGGCCTTTTATCTAGGTTTTCCAATAAAAAAAAAGGAGAAAATGTTGATATTATGGATCATTAAACATTAGGCTTGTATAATGTGAATGACTTCAAAGGGTTATTGCGCGGAGCAAATGATTAATGGTCCATGGTCAGAATAGTTAAAAGCAACTGACGCAGTAGTATTTCAGAACTTTGTGTTACAACTAACAATTTCAACTCTAACAACTGGATACAATTCAGCAAAGTTACAATGCTCTGTAAGCCTTCACATTGCTGTGAAACTGCTTATACATTAACAGAGGAGGCAGCTGTGCCCGCTAGCAGTGATAACATTATGAGTTATATAAAATGATATGGAATGGAAATAGGTTCTATGGTCCAACTAGTCTGTGCTGGGAGTTTTGAAGTGCTGCAATTTTAACGTGGAGGGTGGCTTCAAAGTCTATTGTGCTGATACCTAAGCACTCGACACAGTGCCAATTTACCCTGCTCATACAATACTGCAAACTTGCATGGATCAAGATTTGATCCAGCGAGTTCCTGTTGTGTAAGAGGCTTTTGGACTTTTGGGGCTGCTGATATATGTAAACTATACTGGCCTCAGGAATAATTCACACACTGCAAAAAATTAGGTGTACATTCAGTATAAACTAATTTGCATTTGAGAACAGCTGATTGAGCTCATTGGAAGTAAAACTGCAGAAATAAATTAAAACTTAAGACTGTGGGGCCTTGAAAATCAGAAATTAATATGACAAATGCTGGAAATGCAAAGCAGGCACCTCAACTTTTGAGCACAATAGGCTAGAGCTTTAATCAGGGTGTTAAACAGCAACTGAGTTAGCTCCCTTAACTGCACTGAATAATTTTATGAGTTAAACACATTTATCACATGTCTATTCAGGACGGATCTGAACCATATGCTGTGTTTGAGTAACATCTTGGCCCATGCTATTTAATTATTTTTATTTTTTCTCCCTCAGGCTTTATCTAGGTTGGGTAGCCCAAACCTTACTGAAGGGAAATGTTTTGGCCAGGGAGAGGACAGGGAGTTTCAGCCAAGGAAAATGAACCTTTGGATGGCAAATTGAAGGCAAAATATTAACATAGAGCCTGATGTAAAGCCTAATTTTTACAGAATAGAATTGCTTCACAGCTTCCACTTGATAAACACATACCTTAAACAAGGAATAGAACACCTTTAGGAATTTTGGTAGTTTCTAAGCCAGATGGTGACTGCTGATGACAGCCCAGCTAACCTGGTGCTTCAGGAGAACTTGGAGGGACAGGCCGAACACTGAGAGCAGGGATTTTTTCCCCCTCGGCTTCTATTTTTCCCACCCGAATCCCTCATATACACATTCATAACATCTGGACTTGACTATGTAAACTCCCTGCTTGTCGGCCTCCCCAACTCCTCCCTCCATTGGCTGCAGATCATCCAGAACTCTGCAGCCTGTGTTCTCTCCCACACCTGGCTACATGACCCTATCACCCCCATCCTTGCCCAACTACACTGGCTTCCCATCACACAGATACAGTTCAAGATCCTGGTCCTTACCTTCAAAGCCCTCCGTGGCCTTGCTCCCGCCTACCTCTGTGACCTCCTAACTTCCTACTATCCCGCCCGCTCCCTTCGTTCAGCAGGCGAGCCTTCAGCCACTCTGCCCCC